CTTTCTTTCTAAATTCTCTCTCAACATATACACTCATGCTTAAATTTGTCTCATTCCAAGATTTTGCTTCCCCCCATCCCTACCTGAACTGCATTTATGCTGTAGGTACTGTCTAAATTCTCTTCTCCATGCTTATACAGATACCTTAAAAGACTGATGTCTACATTGTCATTTTTCACTTGTCCTATTCTTTTCGACCCACTTTTCAGTTCACATTGTCCCACTAAGGTCACAAATGATCTCCCAGTTATTAACTCCTATAGATGTTTTGTAATCTTTTTTTATTTGTTTTTATTTCAGTATATTATGGGGGTTCAAATGTTTAGGTTACCTAAACATTGCCTTTGTCTCACCCAAGTCAGAGCTTCAAGTGTGTCCATCCCCCAGACGGTGTCCATCCCCCATTAGGTGTGTATATACCCATCATCTCCTCCTTCTCCCATCTGCCCGATCCCCGATGAATGTTATTACTATATGTGCACTTAAGTGTTAATCAGTTAATACCACTTTGATGGTGAGTACATGTGGTGCTTGTTTTTCCATTCTTGTGATACTTCACTTAGTAGAATGGGTTCCAGCTCTATCCAGGATAATACAAGAGGTGCTAGATCACCATTGTTTTCTGTGGCTGAGTAGAACTCCACTGTATACATATATATATATATATATATATATATATATATATATGACATTTTATTAATACACTCATATATTGATGGGCACTTGGGTTGATTCTACATCTTTGCAATTGTGAATTGTGCTGCTACAAACATTCTAATGCATATATCTTTTTAATAGAATGTCTTTTTTTCCTTTGGGTAGATGCTCAGTGATGGGATTCCTGGATCAAATGGTAGTTCTACTTGTAGCTCTTTGAGGTATCTTCATATTACTTTCTACAGAGGTTGTAGCAGTTTGCAGTCCCACCAGCAGTGTATGAGTGTTTCTATCTCTCCACATCGACGGCAACATTTATTATTTTGGGACTTTTTAATAAAGGCCATTCTCACTGGAGATAAGTGATATCTCATTGTGGTTTCGATTTGCATTTCCCTAATGATTAGAGATGTTGACCATTTTTCATATGTTTTTTGGCCATTAGTCTATCTTCTTTTGAAAAGTTTCTGTTCATGTCCTTTGCCCACTTTTTAATAGGGTTGTTTGAGTTTTTTCTTGCTGATTTTTTGGAGTTCCATATAGATTCTAGTTATTAGTCCTTTATTAGATGTGTAACATGCAAATATTTTCTCCTATTCTGTAGGTTGTCTGTTTGCTCTCGTGATGGTTTCCTTGGCTGTGCAGAAGCTTTTAAAAAACTAGACCCCTCTCTTGCATTTGAAACTTTTGCTCGTACCATGGAAATACTGATACTGGAAACTTCCTTAGTTTCCAGTATACCACACTCGACTGGTTTCTTTTGTTAATTCTCTGTTTTGTCCTCTGTCTTTTGGTGATCCTTTTTCTTTTGCTTTTTACTGAATGTTGGTCTTTAGGATTCAACTCTCAACTCAGTGTTCTTAGGGAAGGGAGATCTTTACGGTTTAATAACTCTCAGTATTACTCAATTGTCAATGTTGCCAAAACCTATGATTATTTATATCTACTCATCTAAAGTGTACTTCTGGGTTTTCATAGATGCCTTACATTTTCTATTTTCAAAATTGAAATCATTCTCCCCTTCCCTGAAATAGATTGTTCTTTGATATTCTCTATTCCAGTTGTTGAGGCTTTTACTCAGCAATTAAAACTAGCATATTGGCAGTCATTCTTGACTCCTCTGTCTTCTGCATGTCTCATATTCCTGTAATTATCAGTGACTACTAAATTAACTAATCAGTGGTTCTCAGCCTCAGGTGCTAACTTAGATCACCTGGAGAGCTTTAAAAATACCTGAGATCAATTAAAATAGAATCTCTGGGAGTAGCGCCCTGTATTCTAATATGCAGAAAGTATTAGAAACAACTTTTCTCAGTATTTCTCAAATATGTCACTTGTTTTTTTACCTCTACTATCATTGCCCCATCTCAGGTCCTCATCATCACTTAATACATATCTCCTAATTGGCCACTCTGCCTACAGTGTTATTCCTCTCCAATCCATTATCGACCTGGCCATCAGGATGAACATTCTCAAATATTAATGTTAGAATGTCATCTCCCTTGCCTCTTCTGTTTCTATATACTTCTCCCCCCACCCCCACTGGGCCTAGAATTCTTCAATGTCTTCCCATGAAAAAGGATCCAATCCAAGTTCTTTAATCGGGCACATGAAGCGCTATTTTAACTTACTCATCACTTGCCTCCTTTTGCCTCTTGTTTGCCATTCTCTACTTGCCACAAAATGGAATTGTTTATTCTCTGTTCATACATGGATGTTTTATTTCTTTTATGCCTTTGCTCATGTGCTCTCCTTTGACTAGAACAACCCTCTTGTGATTGACTGTTAATCCTACTTATCTTATATGTCTTGACTTAGTAACCACTTTCTCCAAACTGGGTTGGATGCCTTTCCTCCGTTTCTCATAATGATCTCTGGCTATGGAAATCACCGCTTTTACCACTGAGTTTAAAATGATCTCTTTATGTTCCTGCTTTCTCTTTGGGAATAATGAACAGTGCTTAATCATCTTTGTATTTTCTGATGTCCAGCATAATACTTAGTACATTTTAGATGCTCAAAAGGGCTTATTAAATAAATGAATGAAAGAGCAGTTAGAAATCATAGCTGATTAAAAATACAGATGACTAATAAATTTAGTCTCTTAAAACAATCAAGAGATTTAAAATAGAAAAGGATCATATTTGTACATTGAGAACGGGAACTTGAAAATCAGTAGGGAAGACTTTCTGTAGATTTAGAATATATTAGATCTCTACTGGCATTGTTAGAGTTACTTTTGGAGGTAATTTTCTTCTTCTGATTTATATAATACATTCATTTGGGATCGTTGTGCTCTGAATTTGGCTTCTTGAGTAGAAAGATAAACATATAACTGGTCTCTGTTAATATCAGTCTGATTAACAGTTAATTTCTCACACAATTACATCGTATTTATGTTACAAATTAATCTCTGATTAATTTGGAATTATTACTTATATCTTTTAGGGTCCAATAACCGTGGATATATTTGCCAGTTTCCAGATCTGGCAAAATGATTGATGTGATCAGTGCCAAGATCCTCTTCAGCTTTGCAATTTCTGAATTTATATTTTTTAATGGAAAAATAAAAATTATATTTTCTCTTAGTTTAGTATAAATCAAAATGCATGGGGAGTGTAGAAAAATTATGATAAATTCTTTCAAATTTCATAGTTTTCACACAAAATCTTGAGGGAAAAGAAACTTGTCCATATTTTTCTGAATCAAGGCTTGTTAGGGAAACATGAAAAATGCACTGTGAAACACGAAGAATGTGATGGGGATATGAAGGAATATAGAACTGGGACAAAGTAGCAGGTTTACTCCAAGTCTTCCAAGTAACTAGATTTAATACTTTGGTATAAACCCTTTTTATTACAAAGAACAACTACCAAATAAATCATTTTCTGGAAAAGAACTAATCTGGAATCAACTGTCTGGGAAAGAAAATCACAAAGAAGTGATTTCTGAAGCTTTCATTTATTTTTCAGAAATGTTACTGTTTAATTTGAAATAAACGTTAGGGTGGAAATCTATTAGATAAGATGTTTACTTAATTTTGCCCATTCTAGACTCTGTGATACTGATTGTTCAGGATTACTGAGCATATGTGCTGTAATGAGAACTGTATATAATTTACTATAAATACTTACATACAATAAACAATAAAGGATATATGTGTCTAGTAATAGCAGATGCTAGTTTCTGCTCACTAAGGAAATGATTATAAGTTTCAATAAACATGGTTAAGGGAATGATGTTAAGATTACATATGTGTGCGTGTATATATATAGATTTATGCACATTTATACTCTGGATTTCAACTGAATATTTCAAATATTCACTATCTCAAACAATGTGCAATGGGATCTCTATCTTTTGCTTCAAGAAGTGAATTATTAATCATAAATTTAATTCTTAGGATATGATCATTGTGGTAGGATTTGCCAGTTTCTTGCTACATCTGTTCACTCTTTTCTCTTTAGAAACAAACCAGATTTTTTAGTTGGTTATATTGCTGCCCATAATAAAAAGCATATTGCCGTCCAGATTTTGCAGTTAAATTTGGTTGTAGGACTATGATCTGGTCTTGAGCTGTTTAAGAAAAATATTTGTGGGAGTTCTCTGAACATTGCTTAAAGGAAGCTCACTCAGGTGGAAGTTCCATTTGCCCTTCTACCTTTTCTCTTAGCTTTTAGCCTAAAAATCAGTGATAACGGCTGGAGTGCCAACAGCCATCATGGAACATGAGTTGACCCTGAGGGTGGGAAGCAAGATGCTTGGATTGTACATAACAAATAAAGGAACTTGAGTGCTTGAGAAAATTGTGGAGCCACCGTATTTACCTGTAATTTCTACCTTCAGACTTTTTCTACGTGTGAGAGAAAAGGGGGTTCTATCTTATTTATGTCATTGTTATTTTCGTTATTGTTGTTAAGCAAGAATTCTAGTGGAGTCAAAAGTAGGACTTGGAGTCTGGTTATATCTGATGAGCCTATGGATCAGCATTCCTCACTGTCAACTATTACAATCTTTTGTTAAAGATAGATGAGAATCTATTTCTCTTAACAGGGAATGACTTGTTAAGCCCACATATGGCTAGTTAATATTGCCCTTATTTCTTTCTATCCTGTGAATTTGTGTCCATGTTCTCTCTGGGAGATCAGCATTTTAGGTTGTGGTATTCTATTTTTATGTTAGGATGGGCATTATATGTCCATGTGGTAGGAAAAATAAAATCTTGTTTGGAATTGTGAATCAAGTGAATTTACCATTGTTCAGAGACAGGAACAGTGTTAAAATGTCCCATGTAAGATTGTTAAACAGTTAATTAATTCATTCAACAATATTTTTGAGCCATTATGGGTCGAGTAAGTCATGAGAGGCCTTTGTTATTTAGTCAACTCATGTCCAACATCACAGGGTTCACTTGAGAATTTGGGGAAAGTAAAAAAGAAGAAAAATTGAGCCAAATGACAAGTCTAAGTATTTTTTCCCAAAGAACTGTCTTTTAAAAAAATTTTCTGTATTTCAAGACAGGAATATAACCTGAATTTTCCCAGATGGCACCAGGCTATTGGTACACATATTAATGTCAAATATTAAGGCTCAAATTATAAGGGTCCATAGCTGCCTCTACAAAATTTTTTAAATGCTCTTGCCACAAAGTCTCTTACTCTTTTCTGGGAGACCTAGGGGAAGGGTTTCATATATGTGTATGGCCAGTTAGCTAGTTTGCTCAGATTATTCACCTACTGGCAGCTCTGGTGCTTGCAAAATCTAAAGGTAGGAGTTCTACCATTCTCTCCCATGTCAGGACCTTCCAGAACACTACTTTTCCATAAGGAGGCCATATGAATATTCTCTCTAGTTTATAAATCCCCACACTGCCAAATGATGCTGCATTCACTTTAAACTGCACCATGCTGGAGACTGACTTGTTCTATAGAAATGAGGAGACTATTTCTCTAGCCAACTCTGTCAGCTTAAAGTACTACTGCTTACATCCTGAGCATCACAAAGTCTCTTATAAAAACATTTCTTTGTGCTCTTATTTATAGGCCTGCATCAAGTATCTTCTATTGTGCTCTTTCTGTGGTATCTCCATTGGAGGCACCCAGGGAATAAAGTTTTATCCCAGCAGGTCTTTATTCTCCCATGCACATTAACTCATTTTAATAATTGGCAGGGAGGGCTACTGCTCTATCCGTTTATCAGACATAACCAAACCCTGAATCCTAGTTTGAGCTCAGCTGGGATCCTTGCTCCACCAGAACTTGACATGGCCTCTAGGCTGCTTTGATAACATAGCTAGTTGAGAATGAAGCTATAATTTCTTGATAAACTATACATACATATACATAAACACACACACACACAGAGTCGTCCCCTTTTATCCATAGGGGATACATTACAAACCTCCAGTGTTTGTCTGAAACTGCAGATAGTACCAAACTCAGGATACACTATGTTTTTTCCTATACATTAATACTTATGATAAAGTTTAGTTTATAGTTCAAGTTTAATTAAAGTTAATTTAATATCAGGCACTGTAAGAGATTAATAAAAATAATAAAGTGGAAAAATTATAATATACTGTAATAAAAGTTATGTGAACGTGATCTCTCCTTCTCTCTCTCAAAATATTTTGTCGTACTGTACTCACCTATTTTCGAATCATAGTTGACCAGGGGTAACTGGAACCAAGGAAAGCAAGACTGTGGATAAGGGGGGACTACTGTATCTCACATACTTATACACACATGTATAACCATATACCACAAAACTTGTAATTTGTATTAACATGCTCATACCATAGTCAGTACCATTTTCTTGTTAAGTCATCTCTTTCAGTTGCAAAACACAGTATAAAAGGAATGGCACATGCTATAACATGTATTTTACTTATTCTGTGCTTATGCAAATATGAATGAGTAATATATTCAGTTATAATGTTCCCTTAAGCCACTGTTTTGCTACATGCTGGAAAACCTTCTATACATAGTTCTGATTCTTTTTGGATTTATTTTAAAGGTGACCCAGTTAGTTTTTCTCTTTTGCAGTCTCTCCCTAGTAAATGTAGCTACTACGACTATGAGTAAAAGAGATATGGATGGGTAGAGGAGATATGGAGAAGCCAGTAACTCATGCAGATAAACACAGTGTGAAAACAAGGAACCACTCTTAAATTATTTACATAGAAATAATGACAAGGAAACAAAATTACTTCCTGAACCACATTTTATCACCTGACTGGTTGCAAAGAGCACATTTTGTCTGTTTTCATCAAATGAAAATCTTAACCATCTAAATTTAGGGCTGTAAAGCATGTTCATAACAACTCAGGAGCTCTCACCGTAATAATCACGGTACTAAAATGCTTATTTTCTAGAAAGTGGTTAGAACCACTCAAAAACATTTTATCAGAGTAACTGGTTAGGGAAATATTAGAAACATATATTTTTAAAACGATGCAAAATATCATGATGTGTGAGAAGTTCAAGTTTAAACTGTATTCAACATCATCAACTGTAGTGGAAAGAAAGTTCCAAAGCATGAAAATCCAGAGCAATTGTTAGTAGTATGAGTGGTAGGATTGAAGTAAATAGAAAGAAATGGAAGGCATTTGCTTAATCTATGATCTTGTTGAAAGAAGGGTCCCAGCACAGTAGCTTTTTCCTTTTAAGACTAGTCAGATGTAGGCCCTTTTAAGGGCATAAAGAATGGAGCCACAGAAAGAGATTAAAAATGCTGGGAGAGAATGGCAGAATACAATAAGGTTGTTTTTAAAACGGAGAGAAATCTATGTAGAGTAAAGGTGACTCAGGCAAAATACAAAAGCTGTTTCCTTCTCATTTGTGCAGAAACTTGTAGGAAATAAAAAGGTGCAAGGCATCTATTAGCAATTCCTTTTATCTGGTACTTTTATTGCCCTGGCATGATTAGTAGAAACTATTTAGCAAGAATTGTCAACTACATGCTTTTTCATCAGCCTGATGTTTGATCTGCAATTCCTCTATAACTAATAGCAAAAGAGAAACACTCAGAAATTTAGGAAGTTTTTGTTGGCAATCAGGTGTTAGCCTACTCTGTGAGGTTTATTCTTCATCTTAGAAGCTTGGTGGCTGTTGCTCTTTTTCGATAGCCATCAAGAAGCAGTGTCTTAGACCTGTTTGGCTGCTGTCGTGCATAGAAGAGTTTGGCAGCCCTAGGGAGATGAATTTCTTCAGCGTTGGATCCACCCAGAGTAGAGAAGCAACACCCTCCCAGCCACTACTCTGTTGCTATGAAACAAAAGACTAGGGAGTTGAGCGAAGCAGGAAGTCCCGCCTTTTAGCCTCAGTCGGCTTTGGCTCCCGCTCCCGACGCTCACGCCCACCTGCCACCCCTTATTGGTTAGCTCCCCAGTGCTTTGCATCCCTTCTTCCATTTCCTTTCCCTTTTCCACTTTCGTTCTCGGGCGAGTCCAGGCCCTTCATTTCCTTCTGAGTCCGCTTCCATTCGGACGTGCGGCGAGCGGGCCTTCCTTTGGGGCTATTGTGTACTGTGGAGGACGTGGACAGAGTGGTAGCGCGAGGAGGACGGGCGCCTCCCGCCCATTGGCTCCGCCCGCTGTCGGGTTGTGCGCGGGCGCGCGGGATTGGCCTAAAGGCGCGCGGCCCCGCCCTCGGTTCCGCCCCGTGCCTGGGTCTCCGTGTATGTTGCTGGGGTGGGGTGTCCAGCGAGTGCTGCTGCGGCGTCCCGCGGCCTCCCCGAGAGTCGGGCGGGAGGGGAGAGCGGGTGTGGATTTGTCCTGACGGTAATTGTTGCGTCTCCACGTCTCGGTGGCCTGCGCTCTGGGTCGCTCCTTCTTCGGGACCGTGCTATCACAGCGATCACACACTCCCCGCCCTGGCTACCCACACACCCTCGGCTGCGTGCGTGTAGAGTCGGACCCGCGCTCACGCGTGTCTCCGGACAGCTACGGCGCCGAGAGGCAAGGAGGGAAGGGGGCGCCGGGGAGGCTCGGCACTTCTTACCGGCTCTGGGGCCCAGGGGCAGCCAGGCGCGGACCACGGATGGCGAGGGGAGAGTCCCGGCTTTCAGCGGCTGTTGCTGCCGCCGTCCAGTTTGAAGTGGGGCATTTAAAGACCGGAACCCAGGCAGGCTGAGGGGAGGAGGAGGAAGGAGTGCAGGGAGACGGGCGGCTGGCATTGCAGACGGCGGGGAGGTGCGTCCCCCCGGGCGCCGATCCCCTAGCCCCCGAGGCGGACGGGGCTGCGGGCGCTGGAGAAGCGAGGGGATACTTTGTCCTCTCTCTGTTCACCTTCCTCCCCAGCCGAGGTCCGAGAGTGGCAGGGGCCTGAGCAGGCAAGGGGCACAGACGTCCTGAAACAAAGCTTTGGGTGAGACTAGAGGCAAGGAGTGAAAGTGAACTCTCTTCTTTCTGTGCCCGCTCTTGTCAGTTTCTAACACTGTCTTTTAAAATGGGCTATTTGTTTGTTGTTTCATTGGCTCTTGGGAGTAACTACTCACCGCGTTGGTTTGAAGAACTGTGTGTTTGTGTCTCTGTACTTGCTGGTTTTAGTGGGAAAAATCCAAGTCCTACGCCTTTGTTGACAACAGACCTGTCCCTTATGCTTGTATAGAAGACTCTTTACGTTTATGTAACTTGGAGAAATCTAACAGGGTGAAATGAGGTTTTTGAACGTGGCTCTCAAAATGTATGTGTTCTAGGGGCTTCAGTTCTAGTATTTTGAAGTGAGATTTAGGCAGAAGGGGCAGAACATTTGATGTGTTCTTGGAGGAAACCTATTGAAATTTTTTTTTGTTGGTGTTGGGAGTTGGGTATTAGTTCAGCCTTAGCTACTTGAAACATGAGGAGGATGCATCTTTAACTCTCAGTATTCTAAAAGCAAATCGAGGGTCATTGCTCTTAACCCTACTGTGTGTAAAGATTTAGAGTGTAAATTCACAAGCTTATTGAAAAGTTGAATCTGGGACCCTTGGTTTTGTTCACATTGGTGGAGGAGGATGTAGTGATTGCAAATTAACTTGTTCAGTTTTCTTGTGAGTAAATATTTTCATAACCAACTTTTTTTTTTAAATCTGCCTTTCAAAGAACTAAGATTCCAGATGGCAAACTCTATGAATGGCAGAAACCCAGGTGGTCGAGGAGGAAACCCCCGAAAAGGTCGTATTTTGGGTATTATTGATGCTATTCAGGATGCAGTTGGACCCCCTAAGCAAGCTGCAGCAGATCGAAGAACTGTGGAGAAAACTTGGAAACTTATGGACAAAGTGGTAAGTTCTGACTGTGCGTGTATGTAGCTCTATTCACCTTGGATCTGGTTTCTCCAGATTTATTTATAATATTAATTAATAATAATTGTTACAGCAACAATATTTTAATTTGTTTCGATCACTTTTCTACCATTCTGTGTGTTTTGAAAAGTTGGATTCAGAGCAAAGACTTTTTTTTTTTTTTTTTTTTTTTTTACCTTTTGCCCTTCTTCTCTTCAAGGTTCAGAGTTCCTCTATATGACTCAGTATGCAAAGTTTTTACCATTGGCTGCTTTTTGTTGGTATATGGCCGTAGTATGTTTGGAAGTGTTTGTTCTGTCTTATACGAGGTTGTGTTGCTTCTAGGTGACAAAAGAGTACAAACAAGTTATTTCAGAAAAGTTTCTAATGGACCACTCATGACAACCAGATGTGTATGATACTGAAAATATTTACTGGGGAAAGAACCAGATTAGTCCTTAAGTGAGGAAGCAATGAGTTGAGAGAGTTTCCATTTTCATCTTTGAGAATTCATGTTCATTAAGAAACTTTTTTGGTATTAATGGTAGAGTTACAGTTTCTTTCATCTACTATTCCATTTTGAAACAGGAAACCTTTTGATTGCACTTTGTTTATTGTGAAAGGAAAATATATGTTGGAGGTGGTGGGGCTGAGTGTATCAGAAACCTCTGTGGTTTTATCATGTTGGTTTCAGATGAACTATAATTTCTCAAGAAGAAATCAAGATGGATGTCAGTATCCAAAGAAGTCCAGTTAAAAAGTCAACTTGAATACTTTATATAATACTCAGAAAACTATAGCTGTCAGTATCCTATCTTACTAAGTAGGATTATGAAATAAATTTGATTAAGATGTAGTTTGCTGCTTTGCAAAAATTACTGATTTTTGCTTTTGAAGTAGTAGCTCTCGTGAAAATGTTTATTTTGGTAAACGTTTGTAGCACCTTATGGCGGTATTTCTTAGATATCTGGGGCTAATTATAAATTTAGTTGAGGCAGGACTCTTTTTATTGTTATAACTGCAGAAATGGAGGTTTAAAGAAATATTTCTTTGTAGGGATGTGCCAAAGCCTGCATGAAGTCATGTGGTAGCATTCCCCTTTGCTTTGGTTTGTTACTGTGTACAAATACTGGCTACAAAAAGCCACCATCAGTAGTATTAGTAATACAGGGAGGTGACAAGATTTACTTTACCTTCATGTATCCTTATGGAAATTACACCTAGGCAGATGAATGATGGGCTTGTCATTCTGCTAGTGTTGCTAAATGAGAGCCAGAATATTTTTGCCAGATAAATATCCTTAGTTTTGGTCTTCAGTGTGACCTATTTAAGCTTCTGCCAATTTATTCAAATTGTTATATTAAAGTGCTCCAGACAGAATGATATCATAGTGTCAGAACATTGCAACTTGCTGCTTGGGGTCAGGTTTTGATTTTAGCATTGGATACTTAAGAATACGGAAATGCAATTGGAAAAATAGCATATATTTGGCAAGCACAATACTAGCTCTCTTTGCTTTTCTAAAGAGGATGCATTTGAAGGTCATTCCCATTGCCTAAATCATTAGTTGGGGGTAAGAGAAGGAATTCAAGGTTTTTCTCTATCTGTTATACAAGTGGGCAACAAATGGATCAGATTCTATAAGGGAGCTGCTCCTCCCCACCCCACTTCTTTGAGTGGTCAAAAGTTGTACATTTCTGAGTGTTAGAACATCAGATCAAAAAGATTTGTATAAGGAAGTGGTAAGCTGTAGTTACCATACAGTCATTATTTTTGAAACTTTAAAAACTGGTGTGCATAATTTTGGTCTATAACTGATGGTTAACATAAGTTTTATCCACTTTTAATTATTTCACTATGAGTTATGGTAAAGTAGATGGTTATTTCATAATTAAGTATCTGCTATTGTTTATTTTATTAACTCTTTTGTGGGTTTGGGTTTAGCCTCTCCAATTGAGAAACTTGATTCACATGGAAATCTATTATCCAAAGTCTCTACTTAGTGGGATGTGGGTGCGGGTATTGGCAAAGGTGCATTGCCATGGCTTTCCCTGCTTGTCTTCATTGTTTGTCTAAGATGAAAATGATTGTGTTCATTTGTGGAGGTATCCATGGGCTTCGTGGAGAGAAATCACATAAAATATTATACAAGAATTCAGTGTATTTATTTTTACTCTATCACACAATAATATAATATAAAGGCATTGATAATTACTAATTGGCCATATATTTTATTTAAGTATGTAGTGCAGAAGCATCCCCCACTTGTGTTTATCTTTTCTTATTTGTCAGTGGTGAAGGAAGTGGCTCATAATATCAACATTGTCCTGATGATTACATCAGGAACTTTATTATTAGTCCCAAAGTTAATCTCTTGACTCATTACCTAACTGTTTTTAAAATAACTTCAATAGAATGAGTTTAGCTTGTGAATAACAGAAAATAGGAACTTTCATGTCTAACTGATAGTTATATAAAAGGCAGGGCTAAGTGTATAGTTGGTATTTTTTCCTTGTGAAGCCTCTTCACAAGAGCAGATCTTACAAGTATAAGTATGAACAGAAGTTTTGCAAGTTTACTGTGTCTCAGCTATCTGCAAAGTAAAATAATTTATTTTATAAGGGATAGTGAAACAGTCTTTGTCTGTAGGGGAGATGTCTAGTAAGTGTGTAGTTTCACCATTTCTTGTCCTCTAGAATGTAAAATGGTCAACTGATATTCCAGTTTCAACTAATTGTTCTGTTTTCAAACAGAACAGGGCAGGCATTCTCTCCAAGGTCACTGAGAATGTGAGAAAGTAATTGCCCAGTTGTGTTCCTCTTAAGATGTAGAGTGTTTTATGGTAGAACATCAGTAGCACAGAGTTAGCACAGTATATGTATTAAGAAAAAGAATAGTAGCTTATCCAAAAGCTTCTCATTTAGACAGATTTTCTCGCCTTAGCTCTGTGTTTCAGTGTAGGTCAATAGCTGATTGGATGCCTATTTGATATAGTGACAGAACTGTTATTCATAAATCCATATCTAGGTTCAGATACACCCAAAATGAAATTTGGGTTCCAAAGCTATTAAGGAGACAGAGTTTCTTAAGCACTTAATGAACATTTATTTAGGGTCTACTATGTTCCTACTAAGCACTTATTACTGAGAATGCAAAGCTAGACAAGACATGGTCCTGCCTTCAGCCTGTCAAGGAACTCGGAGAATAGCATCAGAGCCAAGCATATAAATGGATAATTGCCATGTAATATGGAAAGGGCTGTTACAGACCTATACAAAGTACAGTGGGAGCAGAGTAGAGAACATTCACCTTGTTTTTCTGGCCACTCTTCAGACAGTTTTCTGTCTGGATTCTGCTGGCCATTGCCTGTTAGGAACAGCATTATTGTGCTCTTGTTAGAAATGCTGAGGTGAGGGTAAGGAAATGATTGCTAATCAGTATGGTTGGAATGATAATTTATTAATGTGAGGTTCCTGAGTGTGGTTTTCACGAGAGTCTTAGCCAGGTGATGGAAAATAGAGAAACAATTTTCCGTCTAATAGATGCTAAATGTACTGAGCATACATGGATGCTCAGGAAATTAGAAAATAATTAATTGATGCTAAAGAGCAAAGGAAGTTGAGTACCTATGTTTTTGTCTTGCTGTCCTTGTCATTTATTTGCAGTTACATTACTGAAAGAATTTTAAAAGCATTTGGAAAGTGATGATGCCAAACAACCTTTTTCTGCCTTTTATCCTCTGTACATTTAATACATTTGTCAAGCTTGAAATATAATTCATTCTCCATCTTTTTAAATTTAATTGTGACCATCATGTATTTTAAAGTTTGTCAATCAAAGATGCTTGGATTATATTCAGATATTTTTTTAAAAAAGAGTAAATATTGTTTTCTATGTTGAATTCCTCATACCTCTTAAAAATATTCTGTATGAAGTAAAACTTAGGTTTTGGATGCCTATTGTTTGTGTTTGTTGGTTTTGAGACTCTCACCTTCCTAGAGCCTTGGAACAGGGAATATCATTTATTTGAATTATTCTTCTTCACATATTTCCTTTTCACTGTTGAAGTTGTTCTACCTTAGCAGAATCATGGGCCCTAGTAGACTTGGATAGAGGATAACAACACATGAAATATCTAGTCACTTTTGTTTAGTAGTGAGTTAGATTGTGAATTTGTACTAAGATAAATGAAGTCACCCCCAAGTTTGCTACTTGTGAATTCTAGGAAAAGCTATGATAAAGTGAAAGATTTAAAGGAATCCTATCAAGAGTTACCTTGGCTTATCCCTGTGATATAAGGTATACATAGAACAGAAGGCTTAATCAGTTAGTAATCTTTTAAATTTTACAAAATTTTTACCATTCATATTTTGAATCCACTTCTTCCTTTCTTTCAAAAGTTATTTATGTGTTGTCTGTTGATTTCATGATTCACTTATCAAATCCCAAGTATGGAAGGACAGACATTTATAAATAGCTGTGCCACACAGTAGGATGTAATAACTGCTGTATGCTGGTATAAATAAAGTTCTGTGAATGTAGTATGTGGAGGAGGTGAATGTTACTAGGGGTGAAAAATTGGAGTAGAATTAAGCATAGAGGAGGTACTATTCAGGTGTTCTTTGAGGATGGTTTGCATTCCGGTGAGGCAGAAGACACATTAGGCTGAAGGAATGATGGGAACTTGTCAAGTGAGAGAAGGTAAGTTAGAGGAACATTTAACAGAGGATTTAACTGCTCTGTCAAGGAATTTAGACTTTATTTGGTAGGCAGATAACCACTGAAGGCTCTTAAGCAGGAAGAGGAAAAGTCAAGGCTATGTTTTGGTAGAATACTCTCTTGACTCTATGAAGGTTTAAGAGAAAAAAATTAAAAACAATAATGACCAAGAGATATTAAAACAGTCTGGGCAAGAAATAATAGAGAGTTGGCCTAGAGAATTGACAGTTGGTACAAGAAGTGTTGGTTCAGATGTGGGAGGCATTTTGGTGGTAAAATCT